CCTCCGAGTGCACTTTCCGTGGAGGTTTTCCAGCTCTGAGGAATCTGGCAGTGACCCAGTTTCTCAGCTGAAATCCAAGTTCCCAGTGGCCACCCCCTTTAAACTCCAAGCCTGAGCTGCATTTTTCCCTGGGGCTGATGAAACTGAATAGCTGCAGGTAAAATAAGGAAGGAAGAGAGAAGAAAGGAGAGGAGACTCTTCAAGGGGTGCTTTTCTCCTCCTGATTCCACTTATGTGGGGAAGCATGAAACAACGCCTGATCAGCCAGGCCTCTTTCCCCTGCCAAAGAAGTGTAAACTGGACAATTGAGAGTTTTTCTTTTTTTAAGTCACTATTTTTCTTTTTTTGTTTTTATTTATAAAGCATGACTAAGAGATCCCTTATGGGCATTTAAAATAAACCAGAAGCCAAGTCACAACAACCGCTAATGGCCAGTTGTGTGGTTGTCACTCAAAATGAGATGGAACTTAACAGCCAGATTGTGTATGAGATGAGGGAGGTTAAAAATCCACCAGATGACTGTTCTCACACTTCAGTGAGCTGAAGAATCACCTGGAACACTTGGTTAAAAGACAGATTCCCTAGACTTGGTTAAAAGCCCAGCCCCCAAGACTGATCCTGCATTTGAGTCTGTTTTTGAGTTCCTAAGTAATTCTGAACTGAAATACTCTGGTGGGAACTACACTTTGAGAAACAATTCCCTGAGACAGTAGTTCACAAAGTGAGGGCCCCGACCAACAGCACCAGGAAATTTACTAAAAATGCAGATTCTCAGGCCAACTCCAGGCTTAAAGGGTCAGAAACTCTGGAGGCAGGGCCCAGAAATCTGTTTGAACAAACCACCAGGTGATTCTGAAAGTTGAGAAATACTGCTCTAAGAGCTCTCTTACAAGTCAGGAGTGTGAACCCTGGAACAGCGGTGATTTTAACATGCAGCCTAGATTGAAAACTGCCTCTCTGGGTCTATGGGAAGATAAATGCTAACATTACCTCCACAGCCCCTATTTTTTAAGCGTCCACCTTTCTGAGCCAGGGTCAAAGTTAATGGCGTGAAGGGGAAAGAATGCTTTGTTTCAGACAGACATGGACTCATGTCGCGGTGCTGAATTTAACTTCCCTGAACCTCAGTGTTTTCACCTGTGAAATGGAAGGGACGACACCTGACCCACAGTGATGCTGTGGGAAACAGTGCGATGAGATCTGGGAAAAGTGTGTGCCTGGCACACTGCAAGAACTGGATCCTCCTCTCTGTTTCTCTGCAATCAAGACTTCCCTTGGTTTAATTGGGGTCTGGAATAAGATCTTAATCTTTATAGAAACATGGCTTGAGGGTCTACTCTTTAGAAAGCATCAAAAAACTCATTTTAGAATTCATCACTCCCATTAGTGTAAATGTATGAAGAGCTCAGTGAGCAGTCCTGGTTTTAAAGGCTGGTGACACCAGTGTAGCAGCAGCTCTAATGCCACTTAATCTGATTCGACTCTGCAACCACAAGCACATTCCTTTATTCATCAATGTTTCAGTAATAGACAAAATCTTATCGTTTGATGATTAGGTACCTGGCACAAGCATTTAAATTTCTCAGTTGATCTCCACTGTTGACAAAATGCCAGGTGAATTACCATTAGTTTGGTTGCCAGAGATCTATAAATAAATCGTCTTGTGTGTGTGCACATGTGTGTGTGTCTGTGTGTACCTGTGCATGTGCATGCACATGAGCTGCTCACTTTGTAATTCAGTTGGTTGAAACATCAACCAGTACTGTACACTCCCCCGAGATAGCAGATTCAGGAAACATTCTGGCATGAAGCTATTGTGTCTGTGTTTTAAATTTTATATAATACATGGAAATACTTGACATATTGACCACTTCCATAGATTCTGTAGATGAACTAGCTGCAAATGTGTCTCCCCCGAGGCAAGGATGAAAAACACATGCTATACGTAGCAGGAAGCTTACAAGAACTGCAGCTGTGGAAGTAAAAGGGGAGTACATCTATGTGTGATCATCAAATGTTCCACATCCTTACCTTAGAATGGAAGGTCCCTGATGTGATCAAGATCTAGGGCAGTGTGAAGCCCTAAATGGCCAACTAGTTTAGTTCATGGCAAACTAACAGGCAACCCTTAGTGCAGGAAGAGGTGAATATACCAAGGTTCACTGCCAACTGATATTTCAGCATTAGCTTCAACATGTACTGATGGCTTACCATGTGCAAAGCACATTTACTTGCACACTTTCATCTAAGGCTCACAGTTATCACCATTCACTTCTTACACACGAGGAAACTAAAGTGCAAAGACATGAAGGCATTTGATATGCATCATACAACCAGTTACTAGCAAACCATTACATCCACCCAAGTCTTCTTTCTCTAAAACGGTTTTATTCTATTAAGCCACAGGTGTTTCCCTCCAAAAGATAAAATGAATATTCCAACTGTTATTCATTTGGAACGTCTAAACCCATTGCACAGATGAAAAAAATAAGACACTGGGCTTTTAAGGAAAGGCATTACAAGTCATTCAGTCAGTCACAGGTCATTCTAAAATGAAGGCAAAGGAGAGACTTGGGCTGGCTCCTGATCTGGGCCCCCATATCAGGGCCATGTTGGCCTTTTCCATTTTCCATACACATATTTCCCAAAGTGGAGAAGCTGAGAAACAACCTGAGCAGAGAAATACAGAATGTTGTTCCTATTTATCCTAGAAGGGACTTCTGCCTTTCAATTGCTAATTCACTTGTTTGTTCCTTTATTCATTCACCCAGTCTTCCTTCATTCATGTTTTATTATAAGTGAGGCACATATATTTACTCATGTATCTCTTCAAACAATTCTGGAAAACTACATATTCTCCTGAACTTTTCAAAGATGAAATCTAAGGTTTCTCATCTCTTTCATACACACACACACACACACACACACACACACACACACATATATATATATGTTCACATATTTTTCTCTGTTAAATTATAAAGTTTCTCTTTTGCCTAAATTGTTACAAAGAATATAATTCTAGCATGTAGTCAATATTGACAATCTAGAACAAAACATTGCTGAATACTTTTATATGTATCCAAAGAATTATAGATACCATAGCAATATTTACCATCATCCAAAATTTTAAAACACATGAATGACCTTTAAACAGTAGGAACACTTAATGTTCTTTTTCCTCCTTAAAGTCATATTTCCATTCCAGTTTTTCCAATTTTACCCTTCATAATGTGTTTCATGCTTGAAAATCTCTTATTAATCATCCTAGCATTATTCTATGTAACAAGAGTAAAATATAAATCAAAATGATTTCTTAATTTCCTGTAATCTTAAGGGTTTAGATGTTAAATTTTTTTCTTCTGGATTGAGTTATTACTAAAATTAATAGAACAAAATTAATCAAAACAGCATAAGTATATTACAACTCTAGACAATGTGTGGTAAAATCAGGGAGAAATAAGAAGCATGCCTTTTTAAAGTTCAAGGTGAGCTGGGAAGAACCCTTCCCATGGGAATCTTCCCTGCAGGGATGTTCTCAGGCTGAACTTATTAAGAAAGTATATATACAGGGAAGTCTAGGATCTGGAAATTAATTCCCTAAGATACATACAATGTAATATATTCCAGCTGGAAGACCACTGCTATAGACATCAAGAGCACAAAGGCTCCATAAAGAGTTCTGAGGGGCACATACAAATAATGCTACACAAGTCAGATGTGTTCAAGTGTATCCGTTAGAGACCAGTCAAGAGACAAATCCCATTAATAACCTGAATGTGGGACATCAAGTAGAAAGAACTGCTAGCTAGGCAGAAGATAAGAGAACTGTAAAGTGTAACAGAAATTCAGAAGGCAGTGATCTAAGGCTGATGGAAAAGTCAGAGAGGAAATTAGAAACTGAGAGGAGGATCACACAAGACGGAGACGCACACCATTGCAGACTGAGCGTGGCTGCTAGTAAAGAAGAACCAGGGTGCTACAGGTACTCAGGGCAGGACCCTGAGAGCCGTCACCACCGCGATGAACACTTGCCAGGACCCTCTGCACACCAATTTGCATGCAACTGCACCAGAAACAGCCCGTGGAACAAAAGCAGCCCTTTCTTTCCCTTTGACTTTGCTGCAACCTTTATTGCTTCAGTGCAAGACTGAGCCGACTGGCAAATGAGAAACAAGGAGCTGAGTCCAGGTGCAGGATGATGAAGCAGGACAAAAAAGGATGCATGTGGAGCTGAAAGGGGATTAATTAACAACTGGCGCAAGTGTCATGAGAAAACTGCAGTTAAGGAATTACATGAGCTCAGAGAAAAGGGAAATGACCTTTAATCTCCCCTCTCCTCAAATCAATAGATGGATAGACTCTAGCTGGATTCTGAGCTACCACCTTTGGTCTCGATCTATCTGCAAGATTTTAGCTGACAGCAACCGGAAGCTACATGCACAGCTACCTTACAGTGACTCCCAGGGCTGAGACACTTGCCCCAAGCTCACAAACTCTTAACTTTGCTTCTGTGTGTTTGTGCAAAGCAAGCTGGCTCTCTCACATGTGCAGGAAGCACATGATTCTTCAGGGGCGAATGATGTGTCTGTCTTTGTGGCAGCTGCTCATCCTGACACCAGTCCATGGAGATTGCTTTTACTGCTGAACTTTTTCTCCTTTGATATCTGCCCAAGAAGAGGAGGACGCCAGGGAGCCAGGGAACATCTAATTTGATTTCTCCTATTTCTGCTCTTTGTTTTGAAGTGAAATAATTTCATACAGCCCCCAGCTGACACCAAGTTCTCCTTTTCACCAACTCCCCTACCGTCTTTATTACTGCAGTCAAGGAGATGTTAAAAAAAAAAAAAAAATCATGCCAGTGCCAACTAACTGTGACAGGGTTTTATTTCAAAATCATTTTCTGTGGCTTTACTTGTTTGAAACTCTCTGCCATATTCTATAAAATACTTCATTATTCATCTCCAACACCTTCCGAAAGAAACCCTCTGAGAGGCCACACAGGGGCAGGAAGGGCACTGGCTGGTAATAGAAGGCTGAGGTATCCCCATTTCTACCACTAACTGACTGTGTACACAACGAAAAGCATTTGTTTCCTCATCATGTCCCTTGGCTTTATCCCTGAACACTGCAAAGTGTGGGACCACAGTTACAGCCATCAGCCTGCAGGGATGGCTGCAAAGTACCCCATTCACCTGTGGAGCATTGTTGAGGTGGATGTAACCAAAGGAATCAATTAGGGGAGGTCTTGCCTACACAGCTCCACACCCACAGTCCTTCTGATGACTTTAGATTCAGATTCCTTTGTAGTCTGCTTTTTGTTTTTTATTAAGGTATAACAGACATACAGTAAAGTACACACGTCGATAACTTTTTATGCAAATGTACGCCTCTGTAACTACCTTTTGATTAAGCCAGATATTTCTAATAGCACACCCCCCAAATCCCTATTTCTTAGTCAGTATTCCCTCCTGCCCATAGAAGTAACTGCTATTATGACTTCTGTCACCATAGATTTATTTTGTGTCTTCTTGAGCTTTATGTAATGGAAATCCTATAGTCTGTACTCTTGTGCATCTGGCTTCCACTCAACACAGTCTGTGAGATCCATCCACAGGTAGCTCCCTCTTCTTTCTTAGAGAAAATAGGAAAGAGGTGGGGTGGTTCCCAGAGGTCCCTTAAACTATCCTTAATTTTTTAAAATTCTTTTTTCCTTTTTCTCTTCAGTATAAGTGGTTTCTACAGCTCTTGTTGATTCCTTCTAGTGTATTTTTTTTTGAAAATTCCAGACCTGTTTATATGCTGCCTACAAGAGACTCACCTGAGATCTAAAAACACGCAGACTGAAAGTGGGAGGATGGAGAAAGATATTCCATACAAATGGAAATTTCAAAAAGCAATATTTTTTTTGAGTATGTTTCCTGAGGCAAGGGAAGCAAAAGTGAACAAATAGGACTACATCAATCTAAAAACAATTTTTGTGAAGTGAAGGAAACTGTCAACAAAATGAAACAGCAGCCTACTGAATGGGAGAAGATATTTACAAATAGTATATCCAATATATATTTAATATTTAAAACATATAAAGAACTCATATAACAAACAATCTGATTGTAAAATGGTCAGATCGTCTAAATAGACATACATATGGCCAAGAGGTGCATGAAAAGATACTGAACGTCATTAATAATCAGGGAAATGAAAATAAAAGCCATATTGAAATACCACCTCACACCTGTCACATGACTATCATCAAAAAGACAACAAATAACAAGTGTTGTCAAGGATGTGAAGAAAAGGGAACCCTTGTGCACTGCTAGTAAGAATATAAATTGGTGCAGTCACTATGGAAAAACAGAATAGAAGTCATTTGAAAAATGAAAAATAGAACAATCACATGATCCAGCAATTTTACTTATGGGTATTTACAGGAAGAAAAACAAACACTAAATTGAAAAGGTAATTGCATACCAATGTTCACTAAAGCGTTATATACAAGAGCTAAAGTATGGAAGCAACTGAATAGATAGCCAATGATAGATGAATGTGATACATATACAGTGGAATATTACTAGGCCATAAAAAAGAGATCTTGCCATTTGAAGCAACATAAATGGAGCTAGAGAGTATTATGCTTCATGAAATAAGTCAGGCAGAAAAAGACAAATACCACATTATCTCGTTTATATGAAGATTCTAAAAAACAAAACATATAAGCAAAAAACAAAACAAAAATGAAAACAGACATATATACAGAGAACAGATGAGTGCCACTAGGGAGGGTCACAGAGGTTGGGTGAAAAAGGTGAAGGTGATTAAGAGGTACAAATCTCCAGTTACATAATAAACAGGTCACAGGGATGGAATGTACAGTATAATGAATATGGTCAATAATACTGTAATTAGTTTGGGGGTCAGATGGTCACTAGACTTATCATGGTGATCATTTCGTCATGTATGTAAATATCAAGTCATTATGTATTACACCTGAAACTAACATATTTCAATAAAGAAGTTACCTCTAGCACCAAGAAAAATTCCCTAATCCACTTAAAATAACTGCTTTCCCTTTCCTCTGCCAGTTTAATTGTTGAAGTCAGATTTTGAAAGCTGAGGAAAAGATTCAGGGTTTGAGTTTTTTATGGAATGTTCCGATAAGATCATTTGGATTGCTTCCTCAATTTCTAAGAGAGACATCCTGCTTAAAAATTCAGCAGCAGATATTTTAAAACAGATAACCAGCAAGGACTTACCATACAGCACAGGGAACTCTGCTCAATGTTATGTGGCAGCCTGGATGAGAGGGGAGTTTGGGGGAGAACGGTGGTGGTTTAGTTGCTAAGTCGTGTCTGACTCTTGCGGCCCCTTGGACTGTAGCCTGCCAGCCTCCTCTGTCCATGGGATTTTCCAGGCAAGAATACTGGACTGGGTTGCCCTTTCCTTCTCCAGGGTATCTTCCTGACCCAGGGATTGAACCTGTGTCTCCTATGTTGCAGACACATTCTTTACCAACTGAGCCACCCAGGAAGCCCTGGTGGGGAGTTTCGGGGGGAATAGACACTTGCATATCTGTGACTTAGTCTTTTGCCTGTGCTCCTGAAACTATCACAACATTCTTTTTTTTTTTTTTTTTTTTGGTTATCACAACATTCTTAATCAGCTCAATGCCAATATAAATTCAAAAGCTTCAAAACAACAGTAACAGCAAGAATCAACAACAGGACAGTGCTGCTTCCAAGCGCTCCAGGGGCACCCGCCCTACCCCCACCCCTCCAGTCACAGCACTGTATGTTAATACCCGTGTGCTTTGTATCTGTCCCCTTCTCAAGGGTAAGTTCCATGAAAGCAGGAATCAAGCATTCTTACTCGTCTACATAAGCCGAGGGCTAGCCCAGGAGCTGGTGTGCCCTCTGCACTCAAGAAGCATTTCCTGAACATCTTGACTGAATCATAGCAATCATCTATTCCAGATGCAGGATGAGATACAAACTGAGTTTTTACTTTTGCCCACTTTTAACTGATGTCAGGGCTGATGGTGATTAATAAGGAGAAAGATGGGAACCTAGGAGACAGGTCGGATTCCCTGAAGCATGAAAAATGGGAAATAGGAAGCTTCAGACCAGTCCTTTGGAGATGGGAACTGTCAGAGCGGGAAACAGTCTGGTTTAGACCAAGACGAGATTGGAAGGGACCTGATGATGTAATGCCAGAGGGATGGCTGGAAGAGACAGAGCAAAGTGTCAGGCCAGTTGGGAACCCCTCACCAGACTCCAGTTGTCAACTCCAGCTTCATGTTAGACCTAACAGAGGAGACTTAAACCATACCAGTGCCCCAGCCCCACCAAAGAGCAGTGGGTTTAGAATGCAGGTGGAGCAGGCATCTGTGTGCTTACTTAAAAAGTATCCCAGGTGATTCTGTCATGCGATGAAGATTGAGAACACCCAATTCAGAGCAAAGTGAGAATGGAGGGATTCTCTCCAACCCCTTCTGTGCCCTGACGGTGCCACACCTGTGCTAAAGCCATCTTAGAAATGACAAGGTTGAGGCCAGAGCACGGAGGGCCTCGAATGTCAAGGTGAGGGGAGTGGATGCTTTACAGCGACGGGGTGCACCAGGCACAACTCCGCAGACTGGGGAACTGGTTCCTGGTAAGTGGCTTCACCAGTGAGTCAGCCTCAACTCTGAAAGCCCACAATGGATTACATTATTGGCAAGATCCAAAGGAAGGACTAGTTATTTCTGAATATGAGTTTTCTTCATACATATCTCGCTAATGCCAGCTTGCATTAGTAACTCACGTTTTCCACGTGAGTGCAACTGGCACCTGTTGGCAGGACTTTGGTTGAGTACAGAGAACAAGCAAACTGATGGGGAAGTTTAAAAATCTGAGGTTTAGAAAGTGCAAGGTCCAGCCTGCCTATATGATGACATGGTATTAGAAAAAGGAAGTACATGAGGTTAGCAGGCATTGTAATTAGTGCCACTGCCCTACACTGAAATCCAGGGATTTTGTGGCACAAAGAGCCAGCTGGAGAAACCAGCTCTCCAGCCGTTTCCCATCCTGACCAAACTCTCTCTCTCCCAGCCAACCTTCACAGCTCATGTCCAACAAGTCCAGATGAGCCACTTCAATAGGTTGTTTGGATAATGCTCACTGTTAAGAACAGTAAACAATACAATCCAGCTGAAGGAGAAAAAAAAAATCCCTTATTTTGGCAAGAGAAAGCTACTCTTACTCATTCCATAAACACGGATCAGGTAACAATTGTGTGCCAGGCACTACACTAGGTGCCAAAAACTCAGAGGAAAAACTGTGATCCCTGTCTTCATGGAGGAAGAAACAGATGTAGGAATGGAAAAGAATGTCAGCATACAAAAGGGCAATGGCAAAGAAATGCAGAGTGTGTCCTGAATGTGGTCAGCAGGCTGCAGTCAAAGAAGGCTTCCTGGAAGATTTGCTATTCAAGCAGATAAGTGGAGTCAAGGGTGGGCTGAGGCCACTCATACTGGCTTGCAAAGCCAATTACATACATTTCTTCCCAGTTCTGCACTTAGTGTCCCAATTGGTAACCTGAAATCAGCAATGGTTTGAGTATTCACACCTCAGAAATCAGCAAGCTCTACAAACCAAGTTTTTCCCTCCTGGAGAGATGGTGGTTAAATCTTTCCCAACAAACCCCTGGGTAGAATGTAGTCAGGATAGAGGGAAGCACATTTCAGGAAAAGTGCACACCATACAGGCAAGACCTGGAGGCCAGGGGGAAAAAAGCAGAGGGGAATACATGACTTTAATTTTTATAGACTATAAAGTGTACAGCTGTAACAGCAGGAGATGAGACAAAAAGGGAGGCAAGGGCCCAGTTATGGAAGGCATCAGAAGCTGTGTGGAGTTTCTACTTTACCCAATAAGAGGTGGTAGGCAAAGAAGGTTTAAGGTAGGGTATAATAGGCTAGTGGAGAAAGCAATGGCACCCCACTCCAGTACTCTTGCCTGGAAAATCCCATGGATGGAGGAGCCTGGTGGGCTGCAGTCCATGGGGTCGCTAAGAGTCAGACACGACCAAGCAACTTCTCTTTCACTTTTCACTTTCATGCATTGGAGAAGGAAATGGCAACCCACTTCAGTGTTCTTGCCTGGGCAAGAGGAATCTGGTGGGCTACAGTTCACGGGGTCACAAAGAGTCAGGCAGGACTGTGGTGACTTAGCACACACACAGTCTGATTTCTAGCTGGGGACTCGTGGGGGGAGTGAAAGTGAATTGAATTACAACCAGAACCTGATGCTGTTGAAGTAAAACCCAGTGGAACATGAGGGCACAGAAGAAGACTGGGCATCACTGCAGCCTTGACATTTGGTGCTGAACTTTGGGTTTCCATGGTGAATGGATGCTTTTGAACTGTGGTGTTGGAGAAGACTCTTGAGAGCCCCTTGGACTGGAAGGAGATCAACCAGTCCATCCTAAAGGAAACCAGTCCTGAATATTCATTGGAAGGACTTATGCTGAAGCTGAAACTCCAATACTTTGGCCACCTGACATGAAGAATGGACTCATTGGAAAAGACTCTGATTCTGGGAAAGATTGAAGGCAGGAGGAGTAGGAGATGACAGAGGATGAATTAGTTGGATGGCATCACCGACTCGATGGTCATGAGTTTGAGTAAACTCCGGGAACTGGCAATGGACAGGGAGGCCTGGAGTGCTGCAGTCCATGGGATCACAAAGAGTTGGACACGTCTGAGTGACTGAAATGAACTGTTTCCCTGGTGGCTCATCTGTTAAAGAATCCGCCTGCAATGCAGAAGACCTAGGTTCAATCCCTGGATTGGGAAGATGCCCTGGAGAAGGGAACAGCTACCCACTCCAGTATTCTGGCCTGGAGAATTCCATGGACCGTATAGTCCGTGGGGTCGCAAAGAGTCAGACACGACTGAGTGACTTTCACTGCCCTAAGTCACATGCTCTGCCAAGGCCTTTATAAGGTGAGATGATCCGCCCATCATGAAACAGGTTGATCCCAGTCCGGTTTGTCTCTGGACACCTTGCAGCATCCTGAACGAATTTTCCCTTCCTTTCCGTTCTCTCCCCTTCCTCTCCTCTCTTCTTCCTTCCTTTCTGCTCAGGCCCAGACCTTTTTATCCTGCCATTCATTGATTTGGCCAGCTCACTTCTGGATGCGCAGACAAGCTTGGAGCAGGCAACTGTCAGTCAGGAAGTGGAGAATTTCTAAAAGCCTCCAGCAGGGGCCACCCAAGCCCTGGCGTTCGCGGGCATGGCTTCACTTGTGATTCACTTCCTTACAACAACATAAAGACCAGGGGTCCCCAACCTGGGGATCTAATGCCTGATGATCTGAGGTTGAGCTGATGTAATAGTAATAATAATAGAAATAAATTGCACAGTACATATAATGTGCTTGAATCATCCTGAAATCATCACTCTCCCCACCTCCCACTCCACCCCCCACCATCAGTGGAAAAATTGTCTCCCACAAAATCGGTCCCTGGTGCCAAAAAATTTGGGGACTGCTGATTACAGATGATGGCACACACTTCAGACAAAACAGAAAAGCCTAATCATGCATTGCATGGAGTGAGGTATGACTGCTTTCCCCCCCATTTGCCCTGCACGCATGGGAACAAGGAGGTTCTATTTGGTCACCCCCTTCCTCCTGGTTTTCCCCGTTCCTCTTCCATCTAGGGAGGGTTTCTACTTATTCCCTCAGATCGAGCTTTACAAAGAGCCTCAGGGAAGGGCTATAAGGAGGTCTCAAGGAGGGAAGATTCTCACAGTCGGGGGGCTTCCTGCGTGAAGGGAAGAGCTGTAGGGCAGCCCCAGGACAGTCTAGGGGCATTGCACATCTGTGCTCTCAGCCGCTGACAACTGGGTGTTTCTTGCAAAGGATGGCCAGGGCAACCCCCGCTCCCTCTGCACTTCTCCAAGAAAAGTGGAACTGGGAAGCAGCGTGAGGCCTGGGCTGACATTCCTATGCGGCCCCTCTCACAGGTGTGCCATGCATCACACCTCAGGTGCAAATGGGTCCATCCACAGAAGGAACAGCTAAAGACAGCTTGAAATGGGGCACTTTTCAGGGGAAAAACTGAAGTGTGCAAGAACTCTTCAGCCATACAGCGAATTACCACATGCCTCGTCAGCCAGGTGTCCTCCCGTAGTTAGTAGTTTATGCCAGAAAGGTAGCAAGGGGAGCAACTGGCTTGTTGAGAAAAAGAAAGCCCTCGTTTTCTATGGCACTAAGATACTAAAAATATCAAGAATTTAAATGGTCCTCAGCAGGACATGATCTCCTTACATACTGCATACTGTTTTCCGTGGTTTACTTGAAGAAATGGGGCACTGGGCAAGCAGCTGACATCATCCCTTGTGTAAGTTGTGCAACATGACATTTCTGCAACATCATTTAAGAGTCTATCAATATTGGAAACTTCTCTAAGAATCTCCAAGGGACCAGAAAACAAAGAAATGATAAAAGCACTTGGGTGGAAGGCATACCAGAGAGGATTCTCACTAAAAGGCATGTATGTCCACAGGCAAAATGCAGCTTGCAAAAGTTCTCAAAGCTGGCATTTCTCTCCATTGAATTTTGGAGGCCAAGTGTTGTCTTTGAACCCCAGATACAAGTAAAGAGTTAAAACTCTGAATCCTAGCCTTGACCTTTTGCCCTGGGCAGAAACAACCCACTGCCAAATGTGACTGTCCCTGATTGCCTGTTTGCCTCCAGCTGGCCGCCTGGACCCCACCTCTCTGAGTGATGGCACATGGGGTGGGCACTGCTGGGTCAGTTAAATGAGTGTGGGCTCTGCCTCAGACAGATGTGATTTCAATCTTAGCTCCCCAGGGTGGTGCTGACCCACTGCTAAACTTCACTCGCCACATCAGGAAATGTGAATTCCCACAAAGAGATGGTCTAAGGGTCTGCTCCCAGCATCCAGCAGGTACTCAGTAAGCAGGGACTGTGGGGAGCAGGCTCTGTTCACCTGAGCGGACTCTAGCCTAGTGGAGTTCTAGACTCTGGCCTATTCGAGCTCCAGTCTCCCTGGGGCACAGCCACAGTGATGATGCCAGCTGGGCCAGTGAAATGTTTCTGGTTCTGAAGCCACAGCCTGTAGCACAGGGTGCTTCTGACTATGAGCAGAGCAACTCTGGTTTCCCGTTTCTAGTGTCACTTGTCTTCTGTGGCAACAGTCAGTCAGTTTAGTCACTCAGCGGTGTCCAACTTATGCCAGGCTTCGCTGTCCATCACCAAATTCCGGAGCTTGCTACAACTCATGTCCATCGAGTCAGTGATGCCATCCAACCATCTCATCCTTTGTCATCCCTTTCTTCTCCTGCCCTCAACCTTTCCAAGCATCAGGATCTTTTCTAATGAGTCAGTTCTTCACATCAGGTGGCCAAAGTATTGGAGTTTCAACTTTAGCATCAGTCCTTCCAATGATAATTCAGGGCTGATTTCCTTTAGGATGGACAGGTTGGATCTTCTTGCAGTCCAAGGGACTCTCAAGAGTCTTCTCCAACACCACAGTTCAAAAGCATCAATTCTTTGGCTCTCAGCTTTCTTTATGGTCCAACTCTCACATCCAAACATGACTACTGGAAAAACCATAGCTTTGACTAGATGGACATTTGTTGCCAGTGTAATGTCCCTGCTTTTTAATATGCTGTCTAGTTTGGTGCTGTCTAGTTTGGTGATAGCTTTTCTTCCAAGGAGGAATTCTCTTTTCTTTTCATGGCTGCAGTCACCATCTGCAGTGATTTTGAAACCCCCCAAAATAAAGTCTCTCACTGTTTCTATTGTTTCCCCATCTATTCGCCATGAAGTGATGGGACCGGATGCCATGATCTTTGTTTTTTGAAAGTTGAGTTTTAAGCCAGCTTTTTCACTCTCCTCTTTCACTTTTAACAAGAGGCTCTTTAGTTCTTCTTCACTTTCTGCCATAAGGGTGGTGTAATCTGCATATCTGAGGTTATTGATATTTCTCCAAGCAATGTTGCTATGCCAACAGGAAGCTGCTTAAAAACAGTCCCCAGAACCGGAGAGGGACACGATTGCAGGCTGGAGACAAGGTGGCATGGAGCAGTTTTTTCTGCCCTTGCCAGCCAATGGTAAGTCCCAAAAGCAGATGAAAGGCCCAAGCATAATTTTCCTGGTTCTCTTCCCCATAACATCTTTGTGCACCAAATTTATCCCAGCCTTTTAACTCATAGAACTCTCCCTGCTGTCTTAGCGACTGTGCACTGTTACTACAGCCAGTAGACAGCTGTGAAAACTGAGACTGGAAAAGGGTCATCACTGGCTCAAGATCTTAAACCCTGGCCTCTGAGCCACGATGCCACAATGTCAAGGACAAACCCAGGCAAGGACACTGATCTGGGCTGCTCAGCCCTGCGCTGTGAGGCTGATGGCCATATACCCTCACGGGTAACCGGGGTACCTGGAGGGTCACCAGGGCAGAGAAGCCAGGGTGGGAGAGCAAGAGACAGCTTCCAGATCATGGGCTGACAGAAAACCACAATTTTGTTCAGGGAAAACATGGCCTTTGCAATTTTGGGTCCAGGTTAATCCTAAGAATGCGATTAGCTACCAAGCATGTAGCAAGTGAGACCCGGGTGCCATTCCCTAAAGGTAGCTTTCCATTCTGTCCAAAGTTAACACACAGGCTTCTGTGAGACAGAGGGGGCTGCCCAGCAGGGCAAGCAGCACCAGCAGCAGCACAATGCCCTTTCCGCTATCTCCTCTACCTGCATTTCCTATCGGTGCTTGAGAAGTGTGTTATGAAAGCAAGTCAACCAGCTGAGCCTAATGCTGATGAGCTTCCGGTGTCATGGCCTGTATCTCAAAACCAGAGACTCCTGAATCATGTTAACACCCCAGAACTGTGTGGGTGGACCCAGGTTTTGTGGGGCTGTAGTGGGACACCACATATGGCTCTGGATGTCATGAAACAAAACGGTGGACAGCTTTCAAGAATTACAAACTAGTGAATACACGTGCTTGGCAAGGGTCCTTCCTCTTTTTAGCTCTAGATTCCTCCCATTCCTACCACAGAAGACCATGGTTGGTACCAAAAGATACCATATCCTGAGGCAGTTTGACAGATGGCGGGGTGTGTAGTCACCCAGGTTGATCTGGGGCTGGCCCTCAGTCCTGCCTGTCCCAGGAAGGGCATCCCTGCAGGCCAAAGGCTGGAGGAAGGTAACACATCCAGTACCCTTGAACCTCTGTCAGTCCTCTGAAAGTGTTGGCTCTTATTGGGGATAGGATCACTTTTTTATAATGTTTTGTCCAAAACTTTTGGTGCCACAAAAGTTTAGGGATTTAGAAATCATTAATGGGGACAGAGATCATCATCACCTAGGCAGGGGCTGGCAAACACACTGACATGGCTGCAGTGAACCAGTGAGATACTCCCATGAGGCT